ACAGGCTTAAAACAACAGAGATTTTTATTTTTGCTCTTTTATCTAGTACCCAGGTTATGAGACTCGATTTTTTCACTTTAAAATATATTCTTGGAATTTAAATTACTATCTGGTTTTGAAAACCAGGTGACAATTATGTCTTTCATTTACACAAGTCTAGTTGGAAACTGAAAATCTGAAATTCTTTACATAGCTGAGATCAACTTCTCAAATGGATAATCAAGAGGGGTAAGAATGGGGTAAGTTAGAAAATTTTTACTGAAAATAAAGTGACAAACTTCAGGTCTTATAAAGTTATAAACTGAGAGATTTCTTCATATATAAGTTGATATATTTCTTTTTAAATCACATACTGGGATCTGAATGCATGCCTACTTATAATGAAAATGGACAATCTGAGGTTCCTCATTACTTGACTAAAAGATACTTAGTTACTTTGGAGTCTAAATATCTTTAGAGAATAAAGACAGATGATGTCACTGCTCTAAAAGACCTAAAGCTTAAGACAGGTGTGTATGTGTAAATGCAGAGCTGCCAGTTACAACGGGTGCCTGAGTGGCAAACATTTCATATATATTATCCATTGTATCTACCATATCCTAGGAAAATGACATGTATTGTTATTATCATTTTACAAATGTAGACAGCAAGGCTTAGAGGGATGCTGTGTTTTGCTCAATACTAAATGGTAGTACCTTTTTCAAAGTCAAGTCTCTCTTACTCACATTCCATCCCCTTGTGTCTAACTTCCCTCTTCTACAAGCAATGCACCCAAAGCAAAGGCACAATAGTAGTCTTTTGGTACTTAAGTTTCAGAATAAGTCTGTCTGCTTTTGAATACCTACTCTGTTATTCACAACCTGTAGAACTTTGGGCACTTTTCTTAACCCCTTTGCTCCCCATTTCTACATTTGAAAAGCGAGGATAATAGCTGTCACTCTGATTGGTGTTGTAGTTTTAAATGGCAGGCACAATCATACACAGACTACATCGCTGCTAATCAAGGAACTCTCCTATGTTTCCTAAGGCTATCAGTGTACTCTGATATTACTTCAACTCTTTAAAAACTAGAGTTTGAAAAATGGTACTATAGAGAGCAAAATTATATGGATCACCAAATCCCATGAATCCCTACAAAATCTTGCTTTCAGGTAACTAAATTTATCACATGGCAAGTCTTTTAAGAGAATCTGGTTATCTGAATAATCAAATACAAGGTGAGGCCCAGAGCATGGTTCTAAACTGAGGCCAGTTCTAATTCTTTCCTAGCTCAGTGAGCCTTACAGAACAAAGAAAAAGTATATTCTAAGTTTATTTTCAGTTGTAACCTTTTTTTTTTCTTAAGCAGTTCAACTCTCATGTAAGCTATAGCAATAGTTAGGAAACTAAGCTGCCACTGAGGAAAGTATTAATGAGCCTGAATATTTCAAATAATAGAAACTGCATAGAAGAGAACAAAGACACCTGACAAAGCTTGTCTCCTAAAACAGATCCTAATCTCTACTAAGTACTTACACCTCACTGTGAGCTCATGGGACACTGAATTCATCTGGACCCATAGTATCTAGCCTCATTTCCTGGAATAGATGTGCATCTCTGAGCTATTTTTTTTTTTTTTAAATCTTGCTGCATTATAAATCATGTAGCTGTGTTCTTTGCGCTATATTAGCTGCTAAGCCAGGGAATAACTCTTAAGAGCATATAACACTACTTTCTCTCTGCCTTTTACCTTATTTTAAGGAATTTAAATCTTTTATTCTATGATTATTTCTAAGATGTCAATTTGTTTCTGGAAATAGAATATAAACAAATAAAGATAAGTATCTCTGATACTTAATTGAAAATCTAGGATTCTGAGATCCTAACATCATTACATGTGGGATAGTAAGAGTAAGAAAAGATAATGATTTGGAAATCATCATTAAAAATGTTTAAGATTCTAGCATCTTTTTTTTAATCTCTTCCATAATATACTATCATTTTAATTGAATCAGTAGGATTGATTTATCTCCGAAAAAGTAAACCAAGGAAGCTTCTGCCAAATCATACCTCAAAGAGAAAGCAGTAGAGAATCAGAAGTAGTAGAGGGGCTAATCACGCTTGGTTTTCTTCACCAAAATGCAAATAGTGTATTCTAAGCTTATTTTCACTAGCAGTAGTCTTTTTATTTAAGTGACTCAGCTACAATATGAGGATTAAGGCAACAGCAAGCCATTAAGGGAAGGCTGACCTTGAACTTACCAAGCTTCAGATCTATGGTATAAAGACCAGACTATAAGAACTGAAAAAATGCAGATTTTTCTTTTAAGAAAGATAACATTTTGCAAGTACAATTATAAGGCAATTAGAAACAGTAAAATTTTTTCTAAGATAATTTCATAGTCTCTTAAACCTCTTTTCTGATAACTGCTTCCCTGCTTACCCCTTCTACTTTATTAGTGCCCTTGGTAACATGGTACCCTACTGTTTCTGTGGCTAGTTGATTGATCCAAGGATCAATGCTTGATACAAGAGGGCTGATTAGATTCTTCTACAAGAAATTGAGTTTGGGAATTGTGGTTCATTCATAGTAGCTGCTTGAATTAAGGGTCTTCAAAGTCAGTGTCTGGAGCATAGAGACTCAAAGAAAGCACAGTGAACAAACATGCATAGAGAAGAACACGCCTAGTGACAGAGTGAGGGAGAAAAAAAAAACATGGGAGGTGGCTGATATTCTCTCCTGACTCTTTCTATTTTCTTGTTCTAATCCCTACTGCAAGTCTACATACATTCATGTACATGGATGTCCTAAGAAAGGCCTATATCTCTTTATAATAAATGTCCTGATAGTGTCTTTTTTTTTTATATATATTTTTTTTTTATAGAGGCATGCTTTATTTATTTATTTATTTGTTTGTTTGTTTGTTTTGTTTATACATGCACTGGGTACAGTCAGAAGCGCGGGAGGGTGAGAGAATTCACCAGAGCCAGAGCGGGGAGCAGAGCAGGCAGAAGGACTGAAGTACACTGCTGAGGGGAGCAGCGGGCGGCAGGAGAGGTCTGCGCGCCATGTGGGACCCTCCTCCAGTGGCCGGGGAGCAGCCGGGGAACGAACCGGCGCCACAGAGGCTGCGGGCAGCTTCGCAACCCAGTGCTCAACCGCTGCGCCACCGGGGAGGCCCTGATAGTGTCTTAATTCACTTCTATGAGTTTACTAACATTATAAAATTAAAGAATTCAAATCAGAGATTGGATGACAATTTTAGTTTGAACGTACTATGCTATTTTTATAAATAAGTTGCTGACCACAAGATGATTATTACTTCAGAGCACTATGTCAACTCAAAGAAATAAAATTAGCACTGTAAAAAAACATGCATTCTGATCACTTTGGGGGTGGGAGGGAGTGTTAAAGGTACAATGTAGAGATGAAAAAATTGCCAAAGGACCAAACATTGAACACTAAATTTTAATTTTCTTTATCAGCAATTGTGTCTCTAGGAATTAACAAAAATGAAACCAGAAATAAGTAACATATTTTATAATTAAATTATCAGAGAAATACTATGCCATGTTAAAGTAAAGGAAGATTTGAAAATTTAAATATAAGGAGCTGATGGTTTTCTTAACAGAAATATTTACAACAGGACAGGCATTTCTCTATGTGTTTTCATCTTAAATCATTCTACAGGTAACAAAGATCCTATATTTTTTCCACATATGAATCTATTCAACATGGTAAATATAACCTATATGTTAGGTCAATAAACTTTTTGCAAAAGCTTTGAAGTTGTTAAAATTTGAGACCAGTTGTTAAAGTTTGAACATACTTGCAGCTTAAGGAAAAAATAGAGAAATTGAATATAAACACAACATTACTTTACAAATTAATAAATATTTTCCAGTGTTAACAATAGCCAGAAAACGTTTCTACACCTGTAATTTTTTCAGTGAAGAGCCTGAACTTACTTTAGGTCATACAATCAGCATTCACTACTAATAGGCTGAAATTAAGAAATGTTAACATGAAATATAAGCCTAAAAAATAGATAAGGAACAAAAAAATAGATAAGGAATATAGTAAGCACTTGCTTTGTTATACGGAGCATTAGAGCTTTCTCATCCTGTTTTGTCACTAACTAGTGTCGTGACTTATGGTAAGTGATTTAACACTGTGATTACTGACTTCCTCAACTGTAAACTTTGGCGACTATAGCAAATGAAATTTGCAGTTACTTCTAGTTCTATAAATTTGTAGCTATAGTTCACTCAATTCTTTTTAAAAGCTGATTTTCTAAAGTCACTTAAAATAGGATTTGGATGTATACAAATTTTGTATATTTTTAACTTAAAAACATACTTAGGAACATATTTATGTAAAATCAGAGAACTATACAACTACATATCTGAATACTTTCCCACTTTTGGACAGTATTTTAAGTAGCGTCAGTATAAAACCAGAAACCATAAATATTTATAGCAAATAAAAAGACATATATTACTTCCTATTATAATTTCTATAAAATTAAGCTAATGGCCAAATTCCCATGTACTTGAGCCTCATTTCATTTTTGTGGTGAAGAGAATCAGTGAGTGATTTCCCACTAATCAACAAGTCATTAACACTCTCTGTCAATTATACATGTTAATTGTCATTTCTCTTACTGGCATAGAAGCTCTGTGAGACAGGACTTATTAAAGTCTGCAGAGACTGATACCTGGAATATTTGATTCCTGGTCCCCCTGCAACCCACTCAGGTGCCACCTACTCATTTTCTTGATGAGAAATGCAGGCTTCTTATCACAAGGTAAAAAATTAATGGGTACACAGAGACACTTTTTGGGGGGTGGGGGGCGGGAGGGGAAGGATTGGGGTCAGAATGGGGTGTTTGCAATTGTATGGGGGAATATAAAAATAAAATTTATTATTTAAAAAAAAAATTAATGGGTACAAAATTGTTTATAAAGAACTCAAATTGCATAATATTTAAATTTGGAAACACAAGGATAAATAACCTTACCTGAGAAAGCTTACGTTTTTCTAGGTTTCTTCCCTTTTCATTGTGTAATGTATAAACTGGAGTAAATTGCACAGAACCAGAACAAGTCCCATAATCTTCCTCAATTTCCTATAAAGAAATATACAAGTAATTATTTTAAAATCCTCCTTTAATGTGATTAACAAAGTATCTGATATAGATGCAAATAAAAAACAATTCAGATATATGTTTAAAAAACCTATTTAAAAAGAAAATAAAATTTTTATATTATGAATAAATAATTTCCAAAATAATGCCTGGCCATTTTGAATAATTTGAATAAGACTTATATATAATTTACTCTCCACCACTATAATGGAAGTTTTAAGTAGTATTTTTTTCTTCAAAGTTAGAAATTCAAAACATGAATAATAATAAAATTTGCAAGGATATAATGTGTAATCAAATCAAACAGAACATATACACATATACACATGCAATTTTCATAGACTCAAATACACATCTCCAAACACACAATCTTTTGTAAATTAAGAGCAAATTTCAATTTAAAGTAATTATTGTTAGAAAGGTTCTATAAAACCAAAAGATGACATTTCTGGTTTAATGCTGCACCAAAAATCATCGTTTTAAAAATATTCTCAGCTTGAAGCAAGAATTTAAATTGTGCTATCAAGGAAAATCAACTTTATGAAAACATGCATCCTGTTAAAGCATCTTTGAAGATCTCTATAGTTCTCTGATAAAATATGCAAACAATAGAGAGATTACTCAGTGAATGCATACAGAATGGCAGATAGTTGCCAGAGGGCTTGTTATGAAAAATACATTCTTGAACAAAGGGCTAAGCATATTTCAAAAGTCATTACAAACATAAATCCCATGTGATTTGTAAAGTATAAGCTTCCAACTAATTTGAGAATTAAGGTAGAATGAAAAGAATATGATATACCTTGTGTTTTAGCTTACTCTTTACTTCCTTTATTCCCTGCTTTGCATGACTTTTTGCCTAGAAAATAATACAAATGACTGGTTCAGTATGTTTCTATTACCATTGAAGAAACATGTAAATAAGATCTCATTTAATGACAACTATTCATATTATTTAGTAAAATAACAATTTATAATCTAAAGCTCTATATTCAGAAATACCAAACCATTTACTATACACATAAATTAGCTGGTGAAAACATATCTATATGCATACAAATAGTATTTTGTGGCTAACATTTATCCTATTTTGTCTCCTAAAAAAACAATGTAACCAGATAACTAACACCCACTCTTAATTTGAAACTGTGACCATCTGAGAGGGAAAAGCAGAAAGCACATCATAGTAACAGGTTATTTGGGCAAATTTTAGACTGTAGAACCTCCCTCGTGGTGCAGGCGGTTGAGCGCAGCGTTGTGAAGCTGTCCGCAGCCTCTGCAGTGCCAGTTTGATCCCCACCAGCCTCGGAGCAACCCACATGGCGAGCAGACCTCTCCTGTCTCACCCGCTGCTCCCCTCAGCAGTGTACTTTGGTCAGTCTGCCTTTTCTGTTTCCCGCTCTGCCTCTGGTGAATCCTTTCACCCTCTCACACATCTAGCCTATACCCCAGCTCTTGTATAAATAAAAATAAATCTTAAACAAAAAAAATTTAGACTGTATGAAACTCAGAAAATTTTACAAGAAGCTTTATCAAAGTGTTTACCTAGGCAGACACAGGTGTTTATTAGCAGAGCTATCTTAATGCAATGGCTATTTCATATATAGATTTTATGGTAAACATTAACTCAAGATCCATAGGAAATCTGGCTCCAGCACACAGGTATCTCAGGTCCTCCTGTGATTCCTGAGGGTTATAATTTAAATAAGGACAACTGAGGACTTTTACAAAAGTCTTAGTCATTGTTTTACTGGAAAGTCTCACTCAGAGTGGCCAAAGTGAGAAGAAGGGAGGAGTGAGGAGGGGAGGAGAGAAGAGGGAAAAAAAAGGTAGAGGAGAGGAAACATGAAATTCCTATTTATTATATGTTTCCTCAGTATCTGATTATGTGCTGGGTAACTAGTAAGCATTATTCTGTTTAATCATCACAACACTATGAGATAAGTACTATAATTAATTTTCAAATAAAGAGTGACTCAAAGGGACTAAGTCTGGGTTAGTTTTTAATTCCTAAGTGCAATTTCTTTCCATCTCAAAGAAGGATGAAGTGAGGTTTTCAAAATACATACACTGAATCTAAGCTTCCCCCCCATCCAAAAAAAAAAAAAAAAAAGCATCATGGATCTCTCTACAGACATGGAAACCAAGAAACCAAGGAATCAAGATCACAAATTGACTTATTTACCTGCTCAAACCTCTGGACTCATGATCACAAGATAAATAATGAAAGTATTAAATATGCTCTGAAGAACTTTATTTGCCTGAAATTAATTTAGGGAATAATATCTCAAAAAGAATTTTAATGCTGGAAACATATTACTCTAACTTGAGTCACTATCTTAAGAGAACAGATCAAAATAAAATATTCTATAATATACCAAATAATGAGTAGTTGCCTATTATTTCTGATAACTGTGTGGCTAAAATAAAAAAATTTCTGTAGGTAGACCCCTTTTAAGAAACTCAGATATGTATTATTATTCTTTATTGTAAATTGCTACCAAATAGGAAATTGTTACAGTGCAAAAATGAAAATACATATAGTTCCTTATTAGAACTTAAAATACTGACTAGAAGTATAAAAATTTCAATAACAAATAAACATATTTGCTTTGTCTGCTTTTTAGGAAGAAATGAGTAAAATTAAAGATGAAAACACATAATATTTAGCAAAACAAGGAATGAAATAGAGGACACTTCACTGTGACACCGTGTTAGAATCTTAAATGTAAGATTCAAGGTTCAACATTTATTTGATTTTTAACATGGCAGCTATGTGCTATTTCATTGTAAAATTTAAATCTCTTCAAAAACTCTATAAATCAACCCATCAGTATTATAAGTGAGCTAATGATCTACTAAGAGAGAATTCCTTGCAAAGTCATGGAAAGTCAAACAAAAGGCAGAGGCTGATCAAGGCAAAGTGATGACCTCTTTTCCTTATTTTTATTTTATGGCAGGTTTTAAGTACCTCAGAATGTTGATACTGTGTTTTTAATCCACTCTGTTTTCCTACTGAAAAATATACTGTTTTCCTACTGAAAAATATACTGTTTGAGAGGAAAATTTTTTCATTTAGGTAACACTGATGTACAACACTGTTTCATGATTGTGAGGTATGAGGTCATATCTGTTCAGATGTGTGTTACCACACCACACCATAACAACCATCTAGGAACCCATATTCCTTCACAACAGTCCATTGGAATCCTTTGCTCTTTGATCTTCACCTTCACCCTCTCCCTCTGGTAGCCTCAATTCCATAGTCAGACTTCTAGGATTTGATATTGGTTTGGCTCTGACACTTTGTTTTGTTAACTGACATTCCACATGTATTTGCCTTTCTCCTTCTCACTTTTCATGTTGTGTAACACCCACCAATTTCATTCATGCTGTAGAAAATGGCAAAAGTTCATCATTTTATTTTTATAGCTGAGTGATATTCCACTATGCATATATATCAAATCTTCCTAGTGTACTCATTAGTAGTTGTTTTGCAACTATTTCTTTGAGCCTTTGTTTATCTTTGGAGCTTAGATGGGACTCTGGAGACAGCAGGAATTTGGGGTTTCTCATCTAACCAAGCACTCTGTGCCTTTTGATTGATAAGTTCAGTTCATTTACATTTAGGGTCATTACTGACAAATTCATCTTTAGTTTGATGGTTCTATTTACTTGCTGGTTCAGTTTTACATGAATTTTCTTCTCCTCAAATTAGATAGGAAAGTTCCTTTCAACATTTCTCATAGAGGAAATCTAGTATTTACAAACTCTTTCAGCTTCTGTTTGTCTGGAAAGTCCTTTATTTCTACCTTGTATCTGAGGAAGAGTTTTTCACAACATAGTATTCTTGGCGTGTGACTTTGACCTTTTTCTTGTATTTTAAATATACCATTTTTATCTGCAGAATAGTCATTCCTAGCCTGCCATTCCTAGCCTGCAGAATAGTCTCAGAAAATCTGATGTAAGACTGATGGGAGTACCTTTATAGTTAACTGCTTTTCCCCCCAGCCATTGTCAATATTCTATCTTTGCCTTAAACTCTTGGTAGTTTCATAGCTGTATATCTTGGTGTAGCTGTATATCTCATTGCATTTAGATAAGTAGGTGTTCCTTTAGCTTCAAGGACTTGTATATTTAGTTTTCCCCCTCGCATTGGGATATTTCCCACTAATATTTCTTTGTAAGTTCTCCCTTCCCTTTACTCTCTCTTTATCTTCATTATCCTTATGCTTCCTTTCCTAGTAGAGTCTGGTAGTTCCTGAGTGTTTCTTCATGATTTTATTATTTTTTTCCTTTAAAAATTATTATTTTTATTTATTTTTTAAAGCTTTATTTATTTATTTATAGAAGCACTGGGTACAGTCAGAAGCGCGGGAGGGTGAGAGAATTCACCAGAGCCAGAGCGGGGAGCAGAGCAGGCAGAAGGACCGAGGTACACTGCTGAGGGGAGCAGCGGGCGGCAGGAGAGGTCTGCGCGCCATGTGGGACCCTCCTCTGGTGGCCGGGGAGCAGCCAGGGATCGAACCGGCGCTGCAGAGGCTTCGGGCAGCTTCGCAACCCAGCGCTCAACCGCTGCACCACCGGGGAGGACCTGATTTTATTATTTTTGTATTTCACTTCCCTTTCCAATTGGCTACTTTTGTGAATATTATCTTTGAGGTCACTGATTTGATCTTTAATTTTTTCTAGTCTGCTTCCATGCTTTCTGAATTTTTTATATCCTCCATTGACCACTTTTTATACTGCAACTCCCTTATGAAACTCCTATATCTTCAATTTCTATTTATGTTTGTTGATTGCATTTTTCATGACATTCATATATATGTTTACTGAATTTTGTTCTATTATATCACTCTGATTTCTTCTTCTGCATTTCCTTTCATTTCTTTAAATTTCATTGTCATGAAAATTTTGAACTCTTTATCTGATAGGAAAATTAAATCTCTGTTTCCTTGTGGTTCAATTCTGGAGAGTAGTTTCCTCAATGGTTTTATATTCCTTTGAGGTCTCAAGTTGTGTTTTTTTTTGTTTGCCCATCTTGCTGTTTTAGATCTTAGTGATGAGAACTACTTCTACCTTTTCAGCAGGTGGCACTGGAGTTTTTATATGATTTTGGATGCTTGGCCTTTCCAGGCTTCTGTAGGTCTGAGACCTGATTTTGCAGCTCTTGCATCAAGTGGTGGGTGAACTTGGGAGATTTCAGTTGAGTTTATACAGAAATGATGGCTACATATACACCAAAATTATAAGTCAAGAAAACAATGTAAGTTCTAAACTTATTAAAATACATAATTCAATTATTAATTAAATCACTTCACGTCATACCCTGAGAAAGCATCTGAAGACAAATTCTTATAAAATCAAAACTGCCTGCAATATTTTTATAAATAAGTATATGACCTATTGAATTTCTACAAATATTTTAATACCAAATCATTAGATCCTTCCTCAGAAAACTAGTTTAATATTAGAGATACAGATGTAGACAGACAAAACAGATGTATGTATACAGCTCTTGTGAGAATACAGAAGTCATATAAATACTCTTTGGTGGAGCTGATAAAAATTTTGCAGGGAAACTAGTGTATAAACTAAGTTTACAGAATAAATGGGTATTTTACTAGGTAGATAAAGGTCAATAAATGGATGTTTCAAGTAATAGGAATGGCTAGTGCATGGAAATAGTGGCAGAAGAGGACATCTTGCATTTGTGAAATGGGGAGTAACTCAGTATTTCTACAGATATGGAAGGCTCATGGGGATGGGGAGAAATGAAATAGAATATAGTATGGGATAAGTTCTTGAAAAGTGTCAGTTATCAAAATCAAGAGATTTTTATTAACTATTTATTGTTGTCATTACAGGTTTCCCTTACTATTCAAAATGTAGACTGTTTCTATTTGAAATGATTTACTATGTTATCTTTGGGGTCTGAGAATTCTATTGCAATTAATTAATATGGGAAAACTTTTGTGTAAGTATTGTGGCCACTGGAGCTCCTACTGGAAAACTTTTGAGCACTTGCAGACCCAAAAAGTAACCAAATAGGAAAGTGTTACTTTTATATAGCAGGGGGAACCTGTATTGGTACTGTTATTTTAATATGTCATAGAAAATCATTCAAGAATTTTAATAATGGAGAGTCAAAGCATTTTTGAAGGAAGAAAACTTCTCTAATTGAAGCTCAAGTATACAATGAGAATTAAAAGTATAGTGTTAACTGATATAATCAGTCTTACAAAATGGCTCTATATCATGGATTGTTTCAAATTTGTGCGCACAATTTACTAACAGTTTAAATAAAATAAAGAATTACTTTAAAATTATATAAAGGAAATATCCTCTCTATACAATCATCTAATTTGAATTTACTATAACAACATTATGTTTTTAAAAGGTTAATTAAGAGAAAAAATATACTGTATTACATATCCATCACATAGGAAATATAAAAATTTAATCAATAGAGCTTTTGATTATCAAAAGAAAACTTACATATTTATATGCTGTTCTTACAGCAGGAGTTGCTTTGGTCATTGCTGTGTTGAATAGGGCACCTCCTTTCTGCAAAGTCAGAACAGAAACATAGTTACAAAACTTTGAGGCCAGAAATTTTTGGCTTGAAAACAAAGCATTATTAATATTATATAGAAAAATAACTTTACTCACAAGACAAAAGCTTTCAAAAATTATTTCATGTTAAGCTTTTTCAAGTTTTTACATACTGTATTAATTCCAAAAAAATGTAAACATTCCAATCTGATCTTTTGGTTGGTATAAAAACATCATTTAAAAATTATTTCAGGGCCTCCCCGGTGGCGCAGCAGTTGAGCGCTGGGCTGTGAAGCTGCCCACAGCCACTGCAGCACCAATTCGATCCCTGGCCTCCGGCGAGGGTCCTACATGGCGTGCAGACCTCTCCTGCCGCACCCGCTGCTCCCCTCAGGGGTGTATTTTGTCAGTCTGCCTGTTCTGCTCCCTGCTCTGGCTCTGGTGAATTTTCTCACCCCCCTCCCCCCCATGCTTCTGACTGTACCCAGTGCTTGTATAAATAAATAAATAAATCTTTCAAAATAATAAAAATTACTTCATCTTTGCATTTTAGGCACACTTGAGGAATATAACTAGAAGTAGGTATGTATTTAAAACTTAATGAGGGGCCTCCCTGGTGGAGCAAGGGGTTAAGCACCGTACTATGAAGCAATCCACAGCCTCTGCAGCAGAAATTAGATCCCTGGCCAGCCAGGGAGAAACCCACATGGCGCAGCAGACCTCTCCTGTCTTGCCCGCTGCTCCCCTCAGCAGTATTTCAGTCAATCTGCCTGGTCTGTTCCCCACTCTGTTTCTGGTGGATCCTCTCGCCCCCTGGCATCTCTGGCCTGTACCCCAGCTATTGTATGCATAAATAAATAAATTGTAAAAAAATAAAAAAATAAAACTTAATGAGAAAGAAATACAATGTTTACCAACTGTTTTAATATTTATTTACTGTTTAATGTTTATAAACTGTTATAATGTTTAACTGTTTATTAACTGTTTCAATGTTGGGAAGTAAAGTCTTGATCTGTATATTTATATTAATAAAATCATATTAACAATAGCACATTAGCAGAAATGTTAAAATTCCTATCAAACCCTACTAATGTCCCACATGATTCCTTATTCTTAAATGTAAGTTGACAGTGAAATGTTGCTTTTTCAAAACATTTATCTCTGAGCAAATGTTTTCCATTTTAAAATTATGATATCAATAAACTACAAGCATAAAATAAAAAATATTTTAAATGTGAGAAAATACACAAACATTTCAAATATTGCCTATAAATAGCACACCTTCAATGAACTTTTTTTCCATAAACAGAGTGAAAGAAGAAGTTTTCCAAGGTTATTATTACCTTGACTGTATGTACCCATTGTTGATATGACCTCGGATTCCCTAGAATATAGAAAATAAGATTCAGGAACAATTGATCAAAAATAAATCCATAAGTAAAAATTCATCATGAAATAGTATTTCTAGGGCTTTAATAGACAAATTTTATTTTCTTCAATGTGTGAAAGAAATAATGGTATTGTGACAAACTAATACATTGCTCTAGTTCTTAGGAGCAGAGTCATTTTCATTTTTAAGAACATATACTTTTTCTTTACTTACAGATAAAACTAGTATACTAGATCATTATCATAGAGAGGAAAATATAGCCTCTTTTGAAATCCCAAAGATTTCCTCCAAAATCTTATAAACTATTTTTTTAATATCCTATGTCTATATTGTTTTATAAAATTATGCCTTTTTTACACTGTTAGGTTAGTTGGAAAACTGAAATAAGTTCTATCATTTTTAGATATGCAAAATAAACAAAGAAAATACCCTATGTTAAAAAAAAAACACTGTTAAAAGGCTGCTACAATATTTGCTATAAAACCTAGGACACCACAGACACGCCATAAACATTAGTTATTGTTATGAATAACTTGCCAACTGGGGAAACTGAGATTCTAAGTGATAAAAATTATTTGCCCACGTTCACAAAAACAGAAATTGAGAGAGAATAAGAATCTAGATATTTCAATTCTTGATTCATTAGAACTCAACTCTGATTACTACCTCCTAAGATTGCCAATTAAAATTAAAAAAATTAAGTTATACAGATATCTCCTCTATATCACTTCAAAGCAGTTAGAAATTAGAAAGGTAGCAGCTGATATCTTCAGAAGATACAGCTAACAGTAAGAATAACCAATGATACTCTAATATTATGTGTTATAAGGGTCAAGTTCCTAAGTAAACTAAGATAACAGGAAAACAAATGGTACAATTTGTGGTTTCCTGTTTTAAGAAAAAGCTAAATGTCTCTTTAAATTTTAGTGCTTTAAAAACTGAAGGCTCTTATTTTTACAAACTTAATGAAACAAGCAGCTTATTCTTTTTTTTAAAGATCTATCTATCTATCTATCTATCTATCTATCTATCTATCTATCTATCTATCTTTTCAAGCACTGGGTACAGTCAGAAGCACAGAAGGGTGAGAGAATTCACCAGAGTGGGGAACAGAACAGGCAGACTGATGAAATACACTGCTGAGGGGAGCAGCGGGTGGCAGGATAGGTCTGTGCGCCATGTGGGACCCTCACCCGGTGGCCGGGGATCGAACCGGCGCTGCAGAGGCTACAGGCAGCTTCGCAGGCCAGCACTCAACTACTGTGCCACCAGGGGAGGCCCAAGCAGATTATTCTTTAATACAGTTTTAAAAGAACACTGATTTTCTTCTTAAAAATGAATATAAATATAGGGGCCTCCCTGGTGGCGCACTATGAAGCAATCCGCAGCCTCTGCAGCACGAGTTCCATCCGCGGCCGGCCAGGGAGCAACCCACATGGTGCAGCAGACCTCTCCTGTCTCGCCCGCTGTTCCCTTCAGCAGTGTAATTCAGTCAGTCTGCCTGTTCTGTTCCCAGCTCTGTCTCTGGTGAATCCTCTCAATCCCCCTGCATCTCTGGCCTGTACCCCAGCTCTTGTATGTATAAATAAATAAATCTTTAAAAAAAATGAATATGAATATAAAAAGAATTCCCTCAGAGCCCTTCTATTAAGGTAACCAGATTATGAAAATTGTAAGAATTATTAAGGAATTACTTAACATCATTCTTGTTAATCAATAAGTGGTTTTCTCATACTCAAGAACAAAAAATCTTTGTTTTTTACTTGTGCAAAGACTTTCTTGTCAAATGTATTTATTTAAAATCCAGTAATAGTTACTCCAAAAAATGTGAATTGGCTTAAATTTGTTGAGGCAAAAAAAATACCATTAAAACTGATGATTACTTAATGCCCCTTCAAACTGCTTTAATAACATAGTGGAAAAATAGAATCTAAGACTCTATCAGATTATATCAGGAAACTAATGAAGAAACAAATAGCATTAATGGAGAATAACCACCTACTTCTACATAAATAAAAATATTTCTCGCTTTTAAAGTTTAAACAATTGGGCCTCCCCAGTGGTGCAGTGTTTGAGTGCTGGGTTTTGAAGCTGCCCATAGCCTCTGCGTGCCAATTCAATCCCTGGCCGCTGGGCGAGGGTCCCACATGGTGTGCAGACCTCTCCTGCTGCCCGCTGCGCCCCTCAGCAGTGTACTTCGTCAGTCTGCCTGATCTGCTCCCTGCTCTGGCTCTGGTGAATTTTCTCACCCTCCCGTGCTTCTGACTGTACCCAGTGCTTGTATAAATAAATAAATAAATCTTAAAAAAAAATAAAGTTTAAATAATTGTATGTGGATTTAAGATGTTTTATTTTAAATTTAAAAATTATGGAAACAAATATATTAACTATTCAATATTCCTTACCTGCTTTCTTATGAACCACTTAGTGCATATCAAATTGAATCATTTTATTATCTTTAAACCTATAGATATCTTTCCCTTTACACATTTCCTGATATTCTCATTACTTTACTTTTAAGTTATGGTTGACTCTTTTACCGTTCTGACTACAGTCATAGATCAAAGGACACAGTTTTGAAAGATATACATAAATTCAGTTTTTAAGCAAAGTTCTAGATTCAATGTGAATTGAAATATTCTATGTCTAACTTTTCTGCACTATATGATTTTAATCAGAACTGCAATATTTATAAAGCCCCATGCATATTAACAATTAAAATAGTATACAAATTGCAACTGCAAAAATATAGAAAGAACTGAGATGCTTCTATGAAATTTCCTATTTATTTTTGCTCAAAGGAACATAACTTTTTTCAACTTTAGTGAATGTTGATTTTTCCCACAGAGATCTGTCTGAGTGCTTCATATGTACAAAATCTTTAACAGATATCTTAAGAGATAGGAATTTAGCTTTTAACCAATCAAAGCAGGGAAGACGTGAATACACTTTTATGTATGGAAATGTCTTCTAATTAAGAAAATGTCTTATCATAAGAAAACAATGTTTTATAGCTAGTAAAGCAAGAGCTTTGAAGCTAGGCAGATATATGTCAAGTTTAGACGCTGGCACTTCTATGTGACCTTGAGTGAATTATTAAGATGAATGCTCCATAAATATGGAGATAATCAAAGTACCTCATAGAAAGCTGTGATAATTAAATAATATTTTTAGAGTGCTTGCAAGTTTCTACATATACAAACATTAATTCATACTAATATTAATATTAAATAAGTATGAACAATTGTTATAAACATTACTATGAGAGAAATGACAAAGTTATAACAGCTCTCTCTGAAGAATACATGGATATCATGAATAATCTTTCTCATAGTCTGTATAATAACTAGTTTAAGCTGATCTCTAGAAACTGCTTTTGGAAATATGTATCTATATAGATTTGAAACACACACACACATACCTCTATGAAACTACATGTACATATGTATGTGTATATATAAATATATAACTTTGTAAATATATTACTAATTTTTGTTTGATAATTCATATTTCAAATCCTACTAAAAATAACCAAAATGTATGTCTAAGAAACTAACCTGGGCCTCCATGGTGGCACAAGGGGTTAAGACGCAACCTATGAAGCTATCTGCAGCCACTGCAGCACAAGTTTGATCTTCGGTCAGGAAGATACTCACATGGCACAGCAGACCTCTCCTGACTCGCCTGCTTTCCCCTCCACAGTGTATTTCAGTCAATCTGCCTGTTCTGTTCCCCACTCTGTCTCTGGTGAATCCTCTCACCCCCCACACCTCTGGCCTATACCCCAGTTCTTCTATGAATAAATAAATCTTTAAAAAAAAAGAAACTAACCTAAAACTTAATAATTAAAATATAACACTGGACCAGTAAGATATAATTTTTTAATATACTTTCTTTGACCAACTGAAATTAATACTAGTTGAACTATATTTTCTTTTTGGATCATTATAGGTTCCTCCAAAGTTTGTTAAGAATTCAAAACCCAAATGCCCAAAAATAGATGACTGGATCAAGATGTGGTATATATACACAATGGAATATTACTCAGCAAACAAAAAAGATAAACTCATGCAATTTGCAGCAACATGGAAGGAGCTGGAAGGGATCATGCTCAGTGAAATAAGCCAGAAAGAAAAAGAAAAATAACATATGGTCTCACTCATAGCAGGAATTTAGAAAACCTAAATAAGGGACTAGGAAAAAGACTAATTATAATAAAGTAAAAATCAAAATCAACAAGCAACTATAAACCAGAAACACACTATGGTGGGGGAGGGAAGTGAGGGGGGGTAGAGGATGAGGGAATAGGATCAAAACAAAGGGGGGGGTGAGAATTGTATGGGGACTATAACCAAGATGAAAATGCATACATTGGGCAAAAATGAAAAATGATGTAAAAAACATATAAAATTTTTAAAAATTGAAAAAATTGGGAAAAAAATCGACTTACTCTACTTAGCATAATGTCCTCCAATCTTGTCCATGTTGTAGTATGTGTCAGAATTTTTTCCCTTCTTAAGGCTGAATAATATTCCATTGAATTTATATACAACATTTGTTTATTTGTCAGCAACTAAAAGTTGCTTCCAACGTTTGGCTACCAAACTCTTTTTCTTGATTTAATAAAAGAAAATGAGTATGAAAAAAAAAAAAGAATACAAAACTTTTTTTTTATTTTAAGAAAGAACAACAAAGTAGTTGCCATTAAGTTGTACTCAAAATGTAGCATTATCTAAGTCAAATGCTGATTGGTGATCAATATTTTATTCTCTTTTAAACAATAAAACTGTTACTGAAAATTTATAGGACTCCCACCCCACTAGAAAATCCATCTACAGAGATATCTGGACCAACAGTTAAAACTACAGAATTTAACTATACAAAAGTGTCAGTTCTACCCCATTACTGTCACAGGATGTCATCTTCAATTCCATATAAGGTAGAGCCCCACAGGTCATAAAGATAATGAGACAGCAGTTATGTAAATACTGAATAAATGCCTCAACCAATTTGTCCATGAGCTGACAATATTTTGCCTGTCAGTTTTGAAACATAAAAAAGCCTTATTTTAACATAAAAGTTCCATTGAAGCTAAATTTTTATCCATGAGCTGAGGAAAGAAAGGAGCTGAATGATTCCACATTCAGCTTACTTGCTGAGTCAAGTAAATTAAGATTTTTCCAAAGCTAAATGCTTTCAATGAAATGACAAACTTGCATCACATGAAGGTCCAATCCATAACTGTTTAGTTCATTTATACCTCCTTTAAGGACCAAATCATATATTTTTACTGTGTAAAAAAATAAGTATTTAAGAATTAAATTTTGTGATATTTGTAGATGTAATACTATTAGTAGTTAGACTTGCCTTTTCATGTTTTATTTCTCAAATTTAGCATTTATTTGTTCATGCACAGACTAAAGACATTTTTCTAAATTAAATCTATAGATAAATGGAAAAAAAATTATTATACTGAGAAAGAATGAACACACCAGAGATTTTTGCTTGTTTAATTCCACCCTGTATCCAAAACAGTGCCAAGTACATAGTAAATACTCAGCAAATACTGGCTGAACAAGAGGACATTTCAAGGACTCAAACAAAATTCTCTGCAGTGTCCGGATTAAATACTGGAGCAATCATGTGTAAACTTTCAGTTTGTAAGTCATTAACTCCTTGGATAATTATAACACTGGGTATTTAAATCTTAAGAAGTTAATTTTAGTAAATAAAAATGAAATATCACCTAGCTGATGTTTCACAGAAACAAAAATTATGACTCCTTCTGTTGCCTTAAGTAAGTGCTTTTTACACTGACAAGGGAAAGCAATGGGATGGTAAATTGAAAAATCTTGCCCTAAAACTGTAGTGGTCTCAAAAGCAAACGAAGGCAATATCTCTATATAATATCTCTATAAGCAATATCTCTATAAGCAATATCTCTATATAATAATGCACTTACTTAAAAATGTAAAAACAGATGTGGTATTTAAACCTTTCTTTCTGGATTATATTATAATCTACCATTTCAATCAATCTTATTTCTTTCATTTCTTCTTCAGTTGTAGCCATCACTAGTATTTTTCTAATGGAGAAAACTAGTCAGGTTGGAAGACAGGAAGCTAAACTAATTGCTATCATGTGGTATCTATTTCTAGTTATATTAAGAGATATGCAAGGGAACAACTACTTCCTGAGACCACTGCAGCAGTTTAAACAACTGGTATTAGGCAAAATGAGATAATACTATAGCTATGATAAGATTAAAAAAATGTATCTAAAACATTTTATGTTTAGGAAAAAATTATTTATCAAGTAGATTATATACAAACAACTGCAAAATTCAAATTGGTATTCAGAAAATGGATAATCATACTATTACTAGTCTTTACCTCCACAAAAGCCACCTGAAGTTATTTCTTCCTCAAATACATCAGAGAAAACCTTTCCTGCATTTAGTTTTGCCAGTCGACCATCGATAAACTGAAATATGAAAATGTGAAATATTAATTTCCATTTAGTTCATGCATTTTTACTTATATCAAAATAATATCAGACTCTCATGAATATAAATTATACATATACATGTAGATACACAAATACATATATACATGACAATAGTATTCTCAACTAAATGAAAGGGCTACTGCTTAAAAGACATCAACTAGTTAAGTTACAAAAGTACAGTGAAGACTTTAACTTCATTAACAAAAAGGAGAAAAGTGCAGTAATAAACATCACAGGCACTGGAAAGGTGGTTCAATATACATGGTCTGCAGTGGGATTTACAACAAGGCACTGATGCCTTGCCACATATTTTGCCCATGGGGCTGTGTCCTCCTTCATTGGCTCTGGTTTTCTTAGTGTCTCCCTCAAGAATTACAGTAGACTTCAAGATGAACATAGATTATGTGCTGAGCACAGTCTCTAACACAGTAAACATCCAAGAAATGGTAGGAATTACCATTTTTAAGATTAATTTCATCTAGTAAAATAAAACATTTCACAATAAATACAACTTTTTTTTTTAAAGATTTATTTATTTATTTATACAAGCACTGGGTACAGTCAGAAGCGCGGGAGGGTGAGAGAATTCACCAGAGCCAGAGCGGGGAGCAGAGCAGGCAGCAGGACCGAAGTACACTGCTGAGGGGAGCAGCGGGCGGCAGGAGAGGTCTGTGCGCCATGTGGGCGGCAGGAGAGGTCTGTGCGCCATATGGGACCCGCCTCCGGTGGCCGGGGAGCAGCCGGGGATCGAACCGGTGCTTCAGAGGTTGCGGGCAGCTTCGCAACCCAGAGCTCAACCGCTGTGCCACCGGGGAGGCCCAATAAATACAACTTTTTAAATTCATGGCATACCGTTTGTTTTAAATGATCAGAAATATGATTATAATTTTAGTTTAAACACATAATGACTGACTTGCATAAAATTATTTTATTATATTTCAGGGGTATTAAGAGACTGGAGTGGGAAACAGACACTATCAAAAATTATGGAGATACTCTTCAAAATGCATATACCTGAGAAGAATGTTTTCCATCACCTGTCCTGCCCCATATCTACCCTGATTCATATATATATATTCATATATATATTCATACATATATAAATATATATATATATAAAAATCAGGATCTTAGGGGCATTGATACTATAGGTAATTATTATGCTGACCACCCCGGGTGTAAAACAATGATGTCTTTTGCATACCTATGTATTATTAGTACTAGGTTACTTTTGCTTTTGTTGATCTGTGGCATTTGAAATTAGTATCTCTTAGGATCATGAAAAATCTTATGTATAAGTTTTCTCCAATAATATTGAAGGTGAAGTGACTTTAAGACTCCTTTCCATAAAAGGCAAAGAATAATATAAGAAAGATTTCAATGATCACTGAAAGGTAAACTTTAAGACTTGGTGGTTAACACAAAATGTTCACTTTCATCCTGGAATTACTCTTGCCCAGCCACAATTGTTTCACCCTGGAAGTCTAAAATTTAGGTACTATTTTTTGACTTTAAAAATTTGTTCGACCTCACCTTTCTATTTGAATATTCAGTGGACAAAAATAAGAGGAGTTGTATAAGGCAATATAGTATTCCTCAGGAGAATCAATAACACTAATTTAGCATAAATTATAAGACTCTGATACAGAAATCTCTCACAGGCTAAATTAAGAAAGAATGGCAAGTGAATCAACAGATTACTGTTTAAAATGTGGTATAACTACTTTTTTTATTACCCTGAAATGGTTTTGACCAAAATGGCAGTAAGATAGTCTTAAATTGACATAACCAAAACCGATATCGGATACAGTCACTACAGTCACAGATTTTTTCTCTCTTTTTTTTGGGGGGTGGGGGTGGGGGAAGGATATGAGTTGCTTTCATAAAAATTAGAACTCTGATGGGAGGGACTATATATTGCTAATTTTTATATCCTCATCCTGCTTGTTATATAAGATGTTTCCTATAGCATAATTGGAAATGAATATGGAATTTGGAGTATGAAAGAACTGCATCTCAACTATGCTACTTTATGATCTTGGACATCTCTGGGGCTTTGTTTCACCACCTTTAAAGTAGGAATAATATAAATACCTTACAGCATTTTGTCAGAGTTAATTAAAATAATATGAAGTGCCAATGTTGCAGCTACAGGTTAAATGTCAATAAGTTCACCTTCTCCATTGTCACCACCTTTTCCATCTCTATCAATTTCTTAGCTCTCTGATTGAAGGATCACTGTCTTTCTCATGTATGCATTTTCAATACCTGGCAAAGCACCTGATGTATAATTTAAAAATAATAAACATTTGTTGAAAGATTAAAGCATATTGAAACAATATGAAGGTCACATATTTTACATGGTTTTGAACTTTAATAATTAAAATAAATGGAATTATTCATGTCATTCTATCTTAAAATAAAAGGTAGTAACAAAATACTGGGGTCTTTACTACATATACTAAATGGTTAATTTGAAAATAAAGCCATCTAAAATGCTTCAAAATTTGACTTGTATACATTTTCAACATAGCATTTAAATCACACTAAAGGGATCAAATTTGATAGACTAAGTATCATTTTGGAAAAAAAATAAGGTGAAAGCAAAATGGTAAATTTAAAGTAATATATTACTGACAAATACAAGAAAGTAACACATCCTTTTAAAGGACTTATTCACTTTAAAAGATTAAGACTACTAGACTTTTTAAAAGGTTTTCATTTTTGTGTTTACTGGAAATAATCCTTCCATTTTCGTTTGAGTGGAGCTCAACTCTAAAAAGAGATAAATTCCCAAACTATTTACTGATTAAGCATTTTTGGGCATGAGTAACTGCTTTGGTTACTAGTGATTTGGGCCAACAGAAATTAATCACTGGGTAAAATGCCACATGTTATCACTGACTTTGCAAACAATCCTGTCAATGACAATTACCCACTTAATCAACATACACAATTAATGAAAATGCTTATACTTAAAAGGTTGATTTTATGCACATACACATATACATCACATAAGCACACATACAAATACCAACAATCGTGAATTTTTTTTAAAGATTTATTTTTATTTATACAAGAACTGGGGTAGAGGTCAGAGATGCAGGAGCATGAGAGAATTCACCAGAGACAGAGTGGGGAGCAAAACAGGCAGACAGACTGAGGACACCACAGAGGGGACAAGCGGGAGAGGCAAGAGAGATCTGCCTTGCCATGTGGGTTTCTCCCTGGTCTGCCGGGAATCGAACCTACACTGAAGAGGCTGTGGACAGCTTCACAGCACCGCACTAAACCCACTGCGCCACTGGGGAGGCCCAACAATCATGAATTAATTGAAAATAAATTCCTCAAGGAGAGAAATGCTGCAGGTAACAGATCTTTACACTCCCTTTTTCTATTTTTGATTCAATAACAGTTATTTTTTCCCCTAAGTGAGAGCTGGTTCATGGTTATGCCATTCTAATAATTCTGCAGCATTTCATAGCAAGTAAAAAAAGATAAGGCTATTTTTAGCTACTGTTGCAAGGTAATCATTGTGAACTAAAAAATTCTCTGTTGGGAAAGCTATGACTCCCTGGGTGTTATAACCTATACCCTGAATAATCATTACCTTCAATAACACATATCTTTAGGTAACTGGAAGAGTTTTGGGAAAAATAGTTTGATACTAAAAGTAATGACAAGGAACACTGTTAAAATCAATGGCCATGCTACAGATTTAACAAGAAATTAGGTTGCTGGTAGATTTTGAGTTTGCTTTATAATGATGCCTTTTTATAAATCTTAATATTTTGCTTTTTAATCCCAAAATTAAAAATAAAAAAACTAAAAGTAAGCATGCTAAATAACCAAAACATAAACACCAAAATTTAAAGTTTCAAAATATTTGATGGATATAATTTCATAATATGGATTCCATAACTGTATTTTAGATTAAAAATAGATTAATTTAAATGAATTAGTTTCTCAAGATCAATTATATTATCCCTTTAAATCACCCATGATTATAAGAACTGAATTTTGCTAACCCATATTACATGGTATTAAAGTAGTGTGGCAGGTTATTATAAGACAAATTTATTTTAAGCAGCAAAACTCTTTCCTGCTATTCTTTTTGATATTCAAAGCATTTCTCAAAGCATTTTAATCTTCAAATAACCATTTTAATAGAAACTGAGTCAACTTAAAGACATTATCTGTGATAAATGCATTTCAGTAAGCAACAATTAAATGAAAATTAACATTCACCATTTCAATTGCAAAAGTCACAATTAGACATAAAATTGTTCTTTAAAAACACAATAAAATATGAACAATATACTTGATGGTAAGTTTCTTTACATAAATATAAGAATATATTCTAATAAGATACACAGATTAAACCAGAGTGTATTGTTAGTAGACCAGTAAGAATGTATCTTTATTTTAAGAGATAAACTGCTTTTCACAGTTTAATTCTTTACCAGTCAGTGCATTTCTGACATTTTACTTAAAAATCCAAAAACAAGTATTCTAATCTTGATAGTGGTCTGGACATATGTTACATTTAATTGTAATAAATCCATCAAAACTCTGAGGATGACAATAATTAAATTTCAAGATTCTTTAATTATTTTAAAAAGATACTTGCTTTAAAAAAAAAAAGGAATGAGCAGGGAATGAGCAATTCTTTATCGAGCAGGGGGGAGAAGGAAGATGGAGTGCTGTTCTTAATGCTAACAGACAGCTTTGTTACTGAAATAAAGCAGCAGAAGCGCTGAAGCAACAAAATAAACAAAATCTACAAGCCCAAATTACTTTATCAACCTGGAGGAAAAATTATCATATCTCAAAAATTTATTTCAAATTAGAAACCCTTCTTTGGCACATGGATAACTAATTCTTGAGAGCTACAGAAGAAATATTTGTAAATGATGTATTTGTAAATTTAAAGAAAAAATATAATTAAAAATGCTTTTAAAATATATTAATTTCTT